GAGCATTTCGTTACCACAGGGCAATCTATTGTAAATTGCATTTTGGTTTGTGCACTTCAATTTCAGTTGCAATAAGACATTTTAAGGAGCTTAACGCTGCCATGATTATCCAGCAACTCAAACTAACAAGAAAAAAGTTATTATGAAGACAATATCTATAATGCGTATAGCTTTCAACTTGACGCTAATAAAGATTGATGACGAGCACATGCATAGAAAATTGTTTTTTTATTATTTTAAACCCATTGAAAAAAAATTACGATATTTTTGTTCCCTTAAAAATATTTTTGATTGAATAATACACGAGTTAGTTTTAAACCAACGAAAAACTATTCATAATATTTATCACCAAACTTCAATAAGGTTTGATAGGTATATCTACATTTTTCGTAACATTTAACTATTTATTTATTTAATTACTTTAGTTTTTATGCAAAATTGAGAAACCAATGAGGTTACAACTAAGAAAACTTTGTTCTGATAAATTTTTAGTTTTTAGATTGAAATATCTAAAGTTATTAGCATGTGTTTATACATAATGTAATCAATAATATATAATAGATCAGCTTTATTAATTTTTTTTCTTATGCAACGTTCTTAGAAAATAAATTGTTGATAAGTAATAAGTAAAAAATGTACTACTTTTAATTTAGAATATGTATAACAATCAGGTAGTGTATACAATTTTACAGCCACGATTTTTATAGTATAACAAGCAATTATTATTGTTTTAATATTACAAACTTGATTCATGGAAGATTTGATAGCAGGTATAGTTTATTCAAATAGATGTTTTTCTTGCAGTGGATTATGGTCAAATTACCGTCATAACTTTTCATGTCAAGGCAACACCCTAATAGTTTGTTAATAAATTTGTCAATAGATAAAGTTTGAAGTTCATAATAAAGTGGTTTCTATTATGTTGGAACACCGGAGCATGATAATACGTTTTTGTCTGATGTACATTATATGGGTAATGAATATTGTATGAGAACATTCTAAACTTATCGACTAAAGTTGTCTAACTTCTTATAGGTTATTAATTCAATATTATTTATGTACTTTAAGACCATAAAAAATGTGCTTTCGTGTAATTTATTCTAGCCTCTATAAAAACATAAAACAGAGAAAAATAATAATATTTTTACTGTTTTATAATCATTTAAAACAGATGGCTATTTCTCACAAAACTACTCACCGTCCCTTAAAACAACAAGAAAAAGTAGATAACATAATAATATGTTCAACATACAAAATATTTTTGTAAATATACTTTGCCAAGCACTAAAAAAATAAAGATATTTGTCCATTCAAAAAACAAATCAAATATTGATGATAATTTTATATTTGTATGGCAAAATATACAGATAACATTTTTATGCTTATCTTTTTGCTTTTTATTTATTACAATAAGGGTACTACATCGGCGTTATAGTCGATAGTTTTATTCATTCAAAGATAAAGATCAATTGATATAGTTCATCCTTAAAGTTTGGTCATTAATTATACATAACGACACCAGATTTTTCGTACCAATATCATAATATATATTTAATGTAATAAAAAAAAAAATGCAAACATTTGTATTATATTAATACAACTAAAAAAAGTATAATGCATTTGATTTATTGTATACAATAAATATTTTTTTTAAAAGTAATTAACTTGTTGGAGTATTAAAACAATCTAAATTTTAAGTAGTACAACGTATTATAATTATAATACCTAGTAAAATTTTAGAAATTTAGTATTGCAAAAAAGTCAATAAAACGTATTTATTAAATAGTTAATAAAAAAAATATGGGGCTATACAACTAATAATAGTCATAATAATTCCAGAATTGTATGGGATAGTTTTATGTACAATATAGTACTATATACTGTATATGTTTAAAAAAAACCAAAAATATAAAATATAGTGTCCCCTAGAAGGAAAAGAATTTTTTTTTAATTTCTATAAGTTTTGTTACTTAATCTAATTTTCAGACTAAGGTCTGAAAGTTAGATAGAAACTAGATACAGAGTGGGGCTGTGAAAATTCGATTTTCTCAAAAATCTTTAGTCAAACTTTTTAAAGGAAAAAGAAAAAAAGGGAAAGTTGACCATAGTAAATTTCTATTTTTAAATGAATAAACCGTCAACAGGTATCTAAAAATATTTTTATTACGATATATTGGAAATGACGGCAAAAAATTACTATTGTAGACAATCAATCTTAGTCAGTGGCGCAACTAGGGAAGAAGAGATTGATGCCCCTTGATTAAAATTTAGCCATTTCCCTAAAAAATATTGTCGACTTGAATATCAGTTTAATTTGATTATTTTGACATTTGAAACATTGAAAAGTAATAACTAATGAACGTTGTTGAAACTCAAAATGTTTTCAAGTAAAATTATTAAAGAGTATATACTATTTGTGATAAAATATTGACGGAAAAATTATATTTTTCATATTTAATTTTCCGTGAAATTTGTTTATTGCCTTGTATCTAAGTATATAGTTGACTATAAAAAAGTTTTTTTTGTTATTCTAATGTTACAGGTAAAACAATTTCCTTAAATAATTTAAGTTAAAAAATGTATGATGATGTAGAGAGGAGTTTTGGGGAGGGCTGTAGCCCCGCTAGAATTTTAACCCAAATCATACCTACTTTATTGTTTCAAGTATAACTTTAAGCTCATTATAGCTTTTATTGATATATAAGGGTTCTTTTCACGGTTCATTTGACATAAGATTTTTTAAATCATGCAAAATTAATAAGTTAGAATAATATTCAGATTTTCAATTTACCCAATTTAACTTATATTCTTACAATACAGGGTGTTCAGAATTTCATGTAACACTTGATTTTTGATGATGTATTAAAATTAAAAAAATTAGATGTGAAACATTTTTAACTTTTATTAAAAAATAACAGTTTAATGGAGTGTAGTATTATTGTTATCTGTGCGCATTACTCAACCGCACTCCATCTCCCATCCTATATTTTACACTCTGATAACTTGAAAAATAAAGTTTCAACATTTTCAGCATAAAATTCAGAACAGGGTGTTAGGTCAATCTACTAAAAGTTCTATTTTTTTCTGTGTACCTCACTGGTTATTAGTGTACCTATATTGATTGTATGACAATAATTAGTGATGTTCAATTACTAATAAACAAGTTTAGCAACGTGGTAGGTGTGAGCGGGTTATATTTGTCAACAACTTTCTCCTCACTTTCTAGTCAACTCAATGTAAGGAAAAATAACTAACAATAACTATTACTACTAGCCTTTTAAACACTAGCCACTAAATTAATAGGCTTATACAAACTTTTTAAATATTTTGTATCATTTTGTTATGTTATGAGAAGACATAATGGATATAAAAATGAACTTTGGCAACGCACTATTGATTAATTTTTAATTAAAATCCCGTTTGAATTAAGCCCTCCCGTTGTGAGGGTTGATTTTATGACCTCATAATTTTATTTTTTTGCAACATTTATGTTATAAAATAGTTTGACCCAATAATATTTGTACAACTCAGTAGTCGTACGAATATTATTGGGATTATGGTTATAATTATTTTATCAGAAATGGCATGTTTGGGGTGTAATTTATTTTTAAATAAAAAATTGATTGTCAGTAAAAAGCAAATAAAAATATTGATATTGTAATCAAAATATGAATTATTTTAGTATTTTATTTATTAACACAACATTTTTGATAATAGATTCCATAAATAGTATTTCAAAATCGATTAACGTTCTTCGTGTTTGTTGATCAATATTTTTCATACCAACTTTTAAATATGCAATATAAATATTTTAAATTATGATGTGAAGTTCTCCTAGAAATTATTCAATTTAATTTATCATAAGTAAATAATACTGTTTAAATTGAATTTGTATTAAAACGAAAAAAAAATATGTATTGAAGTAGAAGCAGTTGCAATGCGCAAATCTTCGTGGGACATTTTCTATATGAACTATATTTTTTCCCACAATTCTGCGAATGGCTATATCCTTTTAATAACGGCAGAGAGCTAAATTCAACGCATTCCTTTGGCCTTAGTGATAAATGACAACAAGTATACAATCTATCCAAGTATACACTTTCTTTTTCGCCTCGGGGCTCTTGGCATTGACTTAAGTATAACACCGAATAATATTGATTAAGTAATAAACAAAAACTCATATATTTGTATGACTTAAATATGGCAAATAATCGAAGTTGTAGTAAGAGTGTGTCAAGGAGATTAAAAGCGGTCTAATTTTTTGACGTTCAACACAAAAAAGACACGGAAATTTCCACTACTTATGATACAGTCTAATTTTAGTTCTGTACAAATATACGATATAGTTGACCTTATAAATCGGGGTTTTTTTATTTTTATTTAATCGACACAAAGTTATGTGAAAAATCAAAATACCGCCTTTAAAATGCAATTATTTAACATTGTGTGACTTTCTTGTAAAATGTCGATTAGCTTTAGTCCATTTGAACTTCCACACCTAATATATTATTAACATGGTGCAAAGATAGAGTTTTCATGTATAAAATTAGTTGTATGGTAATGAGTATGATATATATTATATAGATACTGCGTGCGATACAAGAGAGGAACATTACTACCGCTCGACGCAGTAAGTAAAATATAATTGATTATTGACCAGACCGTGTTATGTGCTATTAAACAACAAAAATCTGACATTGAAATTTAACGTTACCTAACATTACCGGATAAGTAATACAGTATTTTTTTGTTTGTTTTTAATAATTAATCGTCGAATATTTGTAGTTTTAATTATATTAGAAATTTGTATACTACATGTCATACATTTTTATATAATAATTAGTAGTCTGTTTTATTTGTTTATTAGTGAATATACTTTAAGTTCAACTAATTTTTTTTAATAGGTATCAGTTTTGTGGACATTTGAGTAGGTACTTAATATAATTATATTATATTAGAGAAAAACTATGGTATATAAACATGTGCTACTGTACTCTTACCGTTCTGTCAGATATGTGTTTTACTCTGCAGTGTAGAATAGCTGTTTGTCCTACAATGGCCGTCACGTTGTGTGGTGAAATATCGTCAAAGTATGGCCTCGGCATAGCTATCCCTTTTTGAGTAATTGATTGTACATTTTGTAGTGATAAACTCGGATCCATTGATACTAGAACAAAACAAGAATATTTTAGAGGACGAACGACACACTGTTTACACCTATTTCATTTAGGACAGTTTATTTTTAAAAATAATTACAACAAGTTTTTAATATGTTACACATTTACTATACTACGTTCATATTATTAATACTTAAATACTTCAACAATTGTATTCATTTACAACAATTAAATGGCAATAATAAGTTTTTTAAGTAAGGTGTGACTAAAACTTAAAATAATTTTAAATTATTCAAATACTGAGAAGCATCATGTCTTCTTTCTCATTTGTTTATGTATGCCCACTAAATGGAATGTATTTATTAAAAATTATCATTTTCATTTTTATAATGTCCTTAAATAAAAAAAAATATTCGTCAAATATTTTTTTAACATATTGTGTTATATGCCGACACTAGGGTTAAAGGCTTACGAATAATTGAATTCGATGGGAAGCCGACACTAGGCAAGTTAGTGGATGATGAGAAAAAAACGATTTATGAACCAGTAGTACCATCTCTTCAACAATTCTCTAAAGATACAAAAAACGAATAAAATGTGTCTAACAATCATGCGTCGTGGTGTCATGGTTCGGTTTAGTGGTCATGATGGTTGTATTATGTTTGACCGACTGGAATAAGCTACCGGGTGAGTAGTTACGTTATTGAAAATAGTAGGTTTATGTTCTGTCAACTATACCGAATGTGACAATTGCCTCGACGAGATATGTGATTGTGACAATAGACGGAAACAATAGGTTTTAAAATAAAAAACAAACTTTAGCACAACGAAGATTCCGCAGTTATGATTGATCGAAGTCCCGATAAATGTATATCGTTTATCAGATTCCTTCAATTACATCAAATATATGGTATCTGCCAATTTCTGTGTAAACATTGTACTGATTTTCTGAGTAAATTATCATTTTGTTTTCACCAAATCGCTTTGTTATAGAAAATTCTCGCGTTCCACAATGTATAGAATTGTTGTAATTTTGGTCCATTTTTAAATTTCTCTCTAAAACTATTTCATTCGCTGCTGGCACAACGTAGACATTTCTGTAATAACTCGGCAGTTTTTTTTTTATTATCTAGTTGCATCACCTCGTAGAATAATTCATGTTTTGTGTAAATTGAGCATCTGATTGATATGAACCACTTCAACTGTGTGTTTTATATCGATTCAAATAATAGGCTTCATAAAGATTATTTTTTATTTTTTTATTTAAAGATAGTTGTTAGTTATAGTATTTTTTGAAAAATATTTCTATTTATTTTTATTATACTGTAACCTTAAAATATGTAATTACTAACGCCCTAAAAATACAATTTATTTGGAAGGTTCAAGATAATATTTAATTTTCATTTTATTCCATGGGCTATGGCATATCATCGCAGTATTGTATTATACATTTTTTTGCAGGGTGGAACCAAAAAGATTAAGCAGACCCTCCCGGACGGGTCTACGAAGATATTTGTCAAACGACAAAACGGACCTCGATTTGTCTTGCTTTTTTTTCACCGAAAAACACGATCCCAATTTTTCAAGACTTTTAACTCATTTGTTCCGTCGCCCATTTTTAATACGTTGGCCATTCATGCTATGCCGAAACAAATTTTTCTTACTTTTTCCTTCTGCAGGTATTTTTTAAGACCTAAATAAATTATGAACAATGTAGAAAAATCTACTAATAAAATATAATATACAGTGCAATATTTTTGAAACAATATTTTCTTATATATTTTATAGAACGTGTTTTCTATTTGTTTAATCATTATATATTTGTTAGAAAAATTCTAGTACAACACCAATTCTTATAGTGCTATCATATTGTTAATAGAACACGTTTCGTTAGCTGTATTTAGTCTTGTGTGTTTTACAGTAAACTACACAAACTAATGGATTTATAGAAACGGCTACATTAAATGAAAACACTGTGTATAACTATAGAAAATGAAAAAGTACGTTATAATAAATCGAAATCATGTAAGCCTTTGTTCGTTGCCAACAAATTAAATATATAAATGAATTTCCTAACTGTATGGTCAAACAAACAATGCATTTTCATAAAAACGTTACATCAACTTTTTCGTCCATGTATAATGTGTTTAGTTTAATATTATACATTTTCGGTGATGTTAACAACAACATGATTAAATCAGTATACTTTAAATAGTATGCTGTTAAAACTCTATAAATTATGTACAACGGTAAAGTTAAAAAAATAAATTCATAGAAATCAACATGAAAAGTTGTGGTAACAGTTTGAAATATTTTGGTGGTAGGAATTTGAATGTCGGGAAGATGCGATAGGAGCAGACTTATAATTTTTTGAAAACTACAAAACGCAATTTTGGACTTGCATTTTCATTGTAAAGGCCGGGGTTTTAAAAACGAACAAAAATCGCACATGTACCCAGATCACGGATGTAATGTAATGTATCATGTAACACATGGAGAATTCCATACTCCTGTAATAAATAGCTTAAAGAAATATAAAAGTTCTAAGTTAAGTATTTTTTATGGAAAACATCGCGAGTAAACGCAAAATTTAAGATGATTTCTTTTCTATCTTTTTCTTCTTGTCCACAATCATAAAAACTCTGTTTTGAACACGTCAGTTCCTATTTGCTGGCACCGTAATGTATGTTTACGATGTTTGTCGTCCATGCATTAAACACGAAGAGTAATAAATAAAATCCCTTTAACTTGTAAAGTTTGAATAAAAGTAACTTTTCATTATTTATTATGGCGTAGCGTTTGAGACGCATAATTGTATGTCCTAGTACAACTAGTAAAACTTCCCTAAAGATAAGATTTAAAACGTTTATTGACTTTAGAGGACACGATCATGATAGTATTTTTGATATTAACGTTTTTAACACATTATAATACAACATGTGTTATTATATAAAATTATCGATGAATATACAGGGTGGGCCACGGGAATAGGGACAAAAATAGATGTATTTTTGTCCCTATTCCCGTGGCCCACACTGTATTTCAAAACGTATTTACAAAGAGACCAAATATATTATATATGTATAATATTAGAGTGGTCCTTAAAAAGTAGATTTTCGAATTTTAACCTCGACGCCCCCTAAAAAGTTTCTAAATATAATAAAAACAAGATAAAGAAATGGCAACAAATAGGAACTTGCAAGAGCCCTATGCCTATTCTCTTTAGTCGTCCACATTTAAATGTGATAAAGAAGACAAATAAATGGTTCTTTATTATGTTTTATACATTTCAAATTGATATTTTTTATCATTTATGTACAATTATATGACTGTACGACCGTAACAAAATGTTTACTATTAAGATCACAGTGTGATTATACATACATTAGAAACACAATCTGATTTTTTAAATTAAAACCAAAAAGTGTAATTGAAAATAATAGATTATTTAATAAATGTACATAAATGTATATATATTATATTATTATTATTATTATAACCTCGATGCGAAACAGAAGGTATTTTACAATAAAGTGTTTTCGAGTAACACATCAATCGTACAATATTACATTGTATCTCGTGGATACCTTTTGGGTAGAGAACGGAATTTGAAAGCTAAAAGAGTTTAAGCTCGAAAATGGGATAACTAGAAGTCATAGAAGAATGCGTGTTATATTGTATAAGCTCGCTACCTGCTATGATCTGTGTACGTGAGTTTATTCTTCACACTATACTTTTTCCATAATGTTCTCAATTTGTGTGGTGGTCAGAATTCACTACTGCGTCTGCTGACAGTGGTCGATTTTGTGTTCAGATACAACTAAAAACGTAAGAATGTCATCTCGAAACTTAAGCTCATAAATAGCTTTCAAGGGGTCTCTGGCCGAACAGCATGATGGTGGTTTTATGTGTTTTAGGCACATAATATAACGTATCCCATCTCTTTCACTTTTTCTTAGTGTCTTTATTTTCTTTCTTCAGTGTTTCTTACACCCAATACACCTTCTACATACGTTTACACACACACTATATATATATGTATTATATAATATACTAAACTATTGTGACAAACCAAAGTTGCACAAAAAAAGTTTTTCTTCGCGTCTTTGCTCAGTCTTAAAAACTATTATTTCTTTCTTTTCCCTTTTAAAGGTGTCGTTCGGGGAACGCACAAGTTCACCTGTAAATTACGAGAAGGCGTAAAGATTTAGTTGCTATTATTAGGTTATATCCCGAGTTACTAATATAATGGACGAGACGTTCCAAAATTCTTCCATCAGATTGCGAAGGAAACCTTTGTAACCATATTCTTGAGTTTTAGCGTGAATTGTTTAATGGAGACTAATTATTATCATTTTAATGGAGATAGATATTAAAATCCATATTCCAATGTAAAAAAAAAAGCATTTCCTTTGATTATTAACACTTAAGAATTGTATACATTTTTAGTGTAAAAACTAGGCTTAATCTCGTCGAGTAAAACAAAATTATTGCGATACCAAAAATATAATGTATTGTATCTTATAACATTATGTTTCTTACATAAATTATCATAGAAATAGGTATAATACAATACACAATTGTTTTAAAGTACATTTCTTATGGTACCTCACCTTAGTGTATATAGGTAGTATACTTGCACAACAATGTGTTATTTAGTTGGTATACGTAGTTATTAATTCGTTGTTGTCATTGCGATTTACATTATTTTGCTCGGCTGTGTGTTTCGCTATGGCCCACAAGATATTTCCTGCCGCCTGACAAGGTCTAATTTATATCTGACGGTTTTACAACTGATCCGATTTTCTCGACATTTAATATATAGGGATGTACGTTTGCACGATCCTGAGCCGTCGTCGGCCAAGAGAATATGTACGTCGACAGGGCACATTCGAGGAAAAGGGTTCGTGGGAAAATCAACAATTTAGTATGTACCGAGTTCTTATATATGTGGCGGGATCCTTTTTTCTATCATTCGATATTTACACCATTCTTTATATGCAATACTACACTATTACACGGACTCGCGACCCCAGACTATTCGGATAGG